TATTGTAAACATCCCATAAAGAATGGCAACAAATTAGTTCAGTTTTTTTTTCTTTGAAGATAATTGCTTATAATGACTAATAACTGCCAAACAAAACATCTTTTATAAACCAAGCCAGTTTAGTTTACCTTTCTTTACTGAATTTTAGTTTAATGGACATTTTGTCCATATACAGTATCACATCAACTATTAACTGAATGATTTTCTACCTTAAAATTTATGGATACTAAGAACAAACATAAAGTACAGTTTTGTTAATACTTTGTAAGGGATTACAAAAGACAAGGATGATAAGTTACAGGACAAAGAAATAAATTATTGATTGCCATCACCACAGTATTGTTTAAAGAATTAACATTTGTAGTACTGCCTAATGTGTATCTGGTGGTATATGTAAAAACATATTTCCCAACTGTGTTTCTCAATATTTTTGTATGTGATTTTAAAAGTCAATTACCAATGGCGATTTTAATACGTATCAATAGTTTTATTTTTTAGAAAATACTTACAATGCTTTTATGTCAAAGTCTCATATTCTAAATTTAATTAAGATAGGTATAAGAATAACAAATGGGCATACATATAAATAAACAAACACACCTTAACTCTAAACTGCAGGGCCTTTCTACTGTACTTCTTCCATCAATGAATCATAAATTGCCAGTCTTGTTGAAGTTTGCTAAATTAGGTGCACTCTTCATTGCAGAAAGAGAAATGAGGATAAAAGCAAGCAGGAGAGAAATGATGGAAAAGGAAATAATCAAGGATAAGACTATATAAGAAATAAATGTCAAAAAATTTGAGCATAATCCATATTATACAAAACATAGCACCATGAAAATAATTTAACCTCATAATTAGAATTTAATCAAAACTTGTTAAATTTGGTAAATTAAACTTAGTAAAGAAACTTTACTGAGAGGTGAAAAGCAAAAAAGCATGAAAATATTTTCACACTATTTTTTAAAACAAGCCTTAAAAACCATGTTAGAATATTCTATTTTCAATATAACTTTCATAAACCCTCATGTAACACAAAGATGTTGGGGATGGAGTTAACATTTAAAACAATGAACTTTAAATGTTGAAAGTACCATTCCTTCCCCCAGAAATAAACTATTTATTTCAGAACTTGAAATGTTGGTAATTTTTTAAAAGGCTGGATATCAAAGTATACTGAAAATTATACAAGATGTAAGTCTTTTAGTGGATATGAAAATTCCAGCTTAAAAAAAGGACATTCTAACTTTAAAGATAAGTACCAGTTGGTAAATGTGCATAAAATAATTCCCGAGATATATGAGCAAGTAATAAGGTGTTTAATTTTATCACTACCACAACATACAAATTTTGAAAAATGCTCAAAAATGTTTTTATCAAAAAGCTAGAAGTAGCATTCACATCTTTCTCTTTTAATCATTCTGTTATTGTCTGATGACAACCTAGGATTACAAGAAAAACAACAACAAAGATAAATGACTCAAATTTACTTCAAAGTACTGGAAGGCTGAGTTAGGTATCTGAGCACATAGTTGTGCAGAATAAGATTTATTAATTTTACTGTTTCTTAGCCTCTGGGCAAACAGTGCTGTATAGAAGAACTCCAGCACAAGCCTGATCTCTGGGAAGGGAAACAGACAAAGACACACATGAAAGAAGGGCAAATTAGATTTAAAAAAATAGGACACATGTACACGACAAAACCTAGATTGTTTATCTAGAAGGCATAATGATATGGATGATCAAGCAGTATATATACAGGCTAAGTGCTTTACAACAGAGGCAATAAATTGGTAGACAGTGAAAACAGCTGTCTTCCATATAAATTTTTTTTAATGTCTGAGATTAAAGCATGTCAAGTTGGGGAAAAAAATCTACATATAGACCTATGCATGTGTGTATGTGTGCGCAGGCGCGAGTGCCCACGTGCACACACACAAACATATCTAGTCATTACATTAATAGGCTAGTGAATGTTTTGGAGAGCATCCTATTGCTGGAAGAGATACACAAAGCAAGCCATAGAAGAAACACACAATTCTGTTTTCATAAACAGATACACATGCTAGGATCTTAAAGCTGGAAATTAAAACATTATTAGCATTCATGAGAAATATTACAATTCACTGACTGTTAATATCTAGCATAGGAATAGGCTTGTACATGTATATGGTATCATGGGCCTAAATGTAACTGTTTTTTTCTTAGCAATTCATTTAAGATTTAGACTTTTCTTCAAAATTCTTAGCTCATTTCCTACTTTCTTTGCTATGGCTAAACCCAGATCTTATTTAGGTTTTAAGGACCTCTAAAAAATCAAAGTGATAAAATATCAATGCGATATAAATCACAACACATTCACAGGAGGTGGTATTACAAAAAAAAGCAAAGTATAAATGGGGGGGGGAGTCCAGATATAAAAGTAAAAATACTGTCTTCCAAACTTTTATTTTCACACTCATTAAAATAATTTGCATGCAAACAGAAAACAATCTGTTTGTTTTGTAATAAATGATAACTATGCTCATCTAACATACCCTGGTGACTAACTTTAAATCCTAATAACTGAAATCAATATCACAGCAAAATGCTGTTCACTAGTATTTTCACAGTATCTCACTACATATAAAATATGCTTTAAAATGTCTTCAGCCTTATTATTCTAATTATCTAAACCTAGAAAATCTTGACGTTTGGGAAATAAATGTGCCATTTTTATTTTTCAAAATAAATTATAAATAAAGCTTGAGATAGCTAAATCACACAAATGGCAATTCTTCTACATTTCAAGAGGTTGGCTCTTCATAGAAGAATGTCAAAAAATTTTTTCACACTAAAACGATACACATGATACACATTTGAGTATATCCATGAATTTAAGTAACTATGTTACTTTGAATAGGGTAGGCCAAAGTGTTATCGATTCCAGGAAAACACAGGCACAAATTTAGTCTAAATGTATAAGATATGAATAACTAAAATAGTACATTTTAGCAAAAATCAAATGTAGAGTTTTAAACATGAATGTTTTTGAATCTATATTATGGTTAAAAGTGGCAGCTGAGTTACAACCAGAAGTAATTTTGGTTTAGTGAAAAGTAGACTACAACAACAACAAAAAAATCAGCTTGATCTACTGTCCAGTAACAGAAGTTAGTTCCATTAATAATTCACAATACTAATTCACAATACTTTCTTACAGCCTGAACATCATTTCTACTGCAAGTGAAAATTGCTTAAAGATGTTAGTCCGAGAATAACCCCCACCCAACCCAACCAAAAAAGCAAAGTTATGTGTGTACTCCTTCCTCTGCACTTAAGGATTTTCAGATGCATGAAATGATTGAAAGCATGAGACAAATACATTAGCTTAGGAAATATCCTGGGATTACTAAGCATACATTAAAACGTTTCTTTTATCCCACAAGTCTGGTCTATGTGCAACAAATTGGTTGCTACAAAAACAGAGATCAATATTATCCTTCTCACCTCAAAAAAATCTAAGAATCTAATGAATTAGCGAATTTGCAATCTCTCAAATTTGAGGAGTAAAATTGATCTTGGAACTCAAGCTCAGTTACGGAACCATGTGCACTCTACTGCTGTAAACAAGACCATACAGTTTAAAGTTTTTTAATCTATAAAATAATGACTCAAAATATCAGTGTGCAGTACAACCAGGTTCTATTCTGAAAGATTATCACAGAAGAACCCTTTGGAATGGTATGAGCAGAACCCTATTAAAGTTGATTCAAAATATTAGCTAGCCAAAACATTCCAACTCAAACTAGGTGCTGTGTTACATTTTAAAATTTAAAACTAGTCACTCACAGCTGTTAAATAGTAAGTGGTAGCAGAGATATATAAATAGTAGATCAAGTCTACTTATACAAATATGTTCTAAGAAAAGCCTAATAAGGTAGAGCATACTAAAGAAAGTTTGTTAATTACAACTATTAATTTGAGAGCCAACACAATTATTAACCTCTCAGCTTATAACTTATGAGTATTCATTCCTACCAAGCTTGTTCTATTTCTCCTTAGTAATGAATAACAGCATCTATTTTTCTTAATGTTTCCAGTAGTTGTAGTTAATAGAGGTAGCTGAGCTACTATTAAGTTATTCTTTGTGGATGAGGATTTTTCAAATGTTTAAGTTATTTTTTAAGCTACACAAGTTCTATTAATGCAATAAAATATAATAGGAAAAAGAAAATGGATGCAAGAAACTTTTGCATTTGGCACCTTGTCTAGATTGATACCTCAAGTATTCTTTTTTTAATAAAGTTAATGCACACATCAGGACACACCACAAAGATTTGCTACATATTTACAAGGCACCAACCCTTTCTCACCTTTAATATGAATTAAGCAAATCAATGAAAAGCATATTAAGAATCCCCCACCCCCCCAAAAAAACTGTAGTATAAATATATACTTCAGTTCAGTACAATTCATGAAAGTTTGGCCTGGGAAGAGTAAAATAATCCAGATCGTTCTTACAATATAGAAACTGTAAACATTTAATAGCTGCCTTTAGGATTGGTGTATTGTGCAAAAGTTATTATTACTGGTACAGGAATCAAAATGGCAAAAACAAACTATATAAAACTCTGTAAGAAGGTGCTATACTTCTGTGATACAAAAGCAAAAGAGGGATATTCCATTGAGATAAAAATGTCATGCTACTCTTAAGAAGCTGAATGCTCCCTTCATGTAGTAAATCTGTAGTGTGTCTGTGGTGTGTGTGTGTGTGTGTGTGTGTGTGTGTGTGTGTGTGTAGAATTTTTTTTAATTTAAGGCCTAATGAGTAAGGCTTGTTTGAACAAATGAAGTGTGGAGATCAAAAGTCTTGAAACAAATGTATACTGGCATAATGGAAAAGCACCAATGTGAAAGGAAGCAGAAGTCCCCACACAACTTGCTTTGTAGATTTCCTGGTAAATTCCCTGCAGTAGAAGGCCATTAAATTTTTTAAATTATTCTAAATTTTTTAACTGTTAATAATTCCATCCCATGAGATGGCTAACCCTGGCTTTTTCTGTCATTTTACGGACTCTGCCTGATCTAGATGTACCAAGATTTAGAGGATCTTCAGTGGACACAAAATTGTCATTATCAGAATCATCATTATATAAAACAGTCCTCCTGCCTTGGTTTCTTGTTTTAATTCGAGGCAGTCTACTGAAACGTCCTGAAAACATAGTATCAAATTCATCATCTGCAATACGTGCACGTTTGGCTCTGGTGGCTCCTCTAGAAGCACCTCTTCCTCCTCTCCCTCTCCCTCTCCCTCTCGTGCCACCTCCACCTCTTCCTCGACTGCCTCGTCCCCTGCCTCCTCTTCCTCTGCCTCCTCTACTCCATCTACCCCATCTGCCCCATCTGCCTCTTCCTCCCGTGCCTCTCGTCTTCCAGTTTCTTTTTCCATTGGCATATTGCTTTCTGAGTTTTCTTTTAGGCCTAGTTTGTATGAATTTGCTATAGTCATGGTCTCCATCTACGTAATCTTGATCTGTTCTGGAAGTTGATTCAGAGTCAGAATCAGAACCACAGGTACTTTCAGAACTTAAACTGGATCCTAACTCTCCACTCTCTGAGGAAGATAAATGTGATTTCTCATTTGTTTCTTTTTTCTCTTTCTCTTCTCTTCCCATGCTCTCATCTTCTTCTGATGCACTAAGTAGTTTTCTCTTGATTCCTGCCCGGGGCTCTCTGCCATCACCATTTGTAAGGGGTCCATCAAGGGAGTGATCTAAATCAAGATGAATAATTTTTAAAGTTAAGCTTTGACATTGATAAGATGGTTATTTAGGTTCAAAAGTAAAATTAAAAGTCTATCAAAATACATTTGGTGCCCAAAGATAGATGGGGTAAAATCATGGAGAGTGCTGGAGTATGAATTTAAAACTGTTTGAAATGAAAGATACTAAGGTTTTAATTTTTATCTGATTACTTTTTGCAGGGGATGGGGGGAGTGTAGAGGGATGATGGGCAGTGAGGTAGCTAGGTATAAATTTTAAGGGCTTGAACTCTAGAAGGAATAATCTGGGAACATGTATCAGAATAATTTTATTCATTCATTCAACAAATATTATTGATTACCTACTATCTGCCAGGCATTGTATGGACTTTGGAATATGGCAATGATGAGACAAAGTCCTTGATCTTTGAATTTATAATTTAGTGTGGAAACCCTGATAGACAATGAAGTAAACAAATAGATAATATAACTTCAAGTACTAATATGGATTATAAAGAAAAAGAAAAGTGGGTAAAAAAAAGAGTGTGAATGTATGTATGAGGGGTATATTAGATAGGGAAGACTTTTCTGCTGAGGCAGTATTTGAGAAAAGAACTGAATGAAGTGAGATCTGGGGAAAGAACATTCCACTGAAGGAAACAAGAACCCCGTATAACTAGAGTAGAAGAGAAAAATAAGAAGTAGTAGGAGATGACTGCCAGTGGAGAGTTTTAAAGCTACAGAATGACAGGATATGATTTACATTTTTAAGAGTGCTATGGTTGCTATATAGAGAATGCAATATAGGAGGGGCAAGACTGAAAGCAGAGATCAGTTGGGAGTACATTGCAATTGTCTAGGTAAGAGATGATGAGAGATCTATCAATAGAGGTGATGATAAGTGATTAGATTTAGAATATTTCCTTCTGGGGGAGCTACCAGAACCAAGCTTCATAGTTCAAACTGACAGAAATTTCTGATGGATTGGATGTCAAGTGTTAAGCACAAAATGAAATCAACTCCTAGGTTTTATGCCTGAGTAACTTGGTGAATGGTAGAGATATATTGCTAGGTTAGAGAACAATGAAGGAGAATACGTTTGGGCAATCTGGTGGAAAGAAAAAAATCAAGATTCCAGATAGAAATACTACTAGAAATCCAAGTCAAGACATTTTAAAAAGAAAAAGAAAAAAAGCAAGTGGATATACCAGTCCAGAACTCAGGGGAGACTTGGATAGAGTTGGAGATATAATTTTGGAAATTTTCAGTAAAGAGATAACATTTAGCGTAAAAAGAAATAAGAAAGCTCACTGAGAGAGCAAGTAAAGAGAGAGAAGGTGGCTGAGGACTGAGACTTGGTATATTCCAACATTTAAAGATAAAGAACAATTGGCAAAGATAAGCAAGGTAGGAGGAAAACAGGAGAGTGGACTGGAAAAACTGGAGAGAGTAAAGAGTAGGGTTGTATGGTAACCACAATTACAAGATTAGTCTAATAGTGTAGGTGTTATGGACTGAATTTTGTGTGCCCACTCCACCCCCCCAAATACATATGTTGAAGCCCTAACCCCCAATATGACTGTATATAGAGCCTTTAAGGAAGTAATTAAAATTAAATGAAATCATAAGGGTAGGTTGGTCCTAATGCACCAGGACTTGCCTGTGTCCTTATAAGAGAAAGACACACCAGTGCTCACTTGTTCTTCCTGTCTGTGTATGCAAAGAAAAAACTCATACGAGGACACAGGGAGAAGGTAGCCATGAGCAAGCCAGGAAGAAAGCCCTTACCAGACACCAACCCTGCTGGCACCTTGATGTTGGATTTTGAGCCTCCAGAACTGTGAGAAAATAAATGTCTGTTGTAGGTATATGAAAAGGTGCTCAACATCTCTAACCATCAGGGAAATGTAAATCAGAACCACAATCAGATATCACCTCACACCTGTTAGGGTTGCTAATATCAAAAAGATAAAAGGTAACTAGTGTTGGCGAGGATGTGGAGAAAAGGGAACCCTTGTACACTGTTGGTGAAAAAGTAAATTAGTACAGCCATTATGGAAATCAGTACGGAGGTTCCCTAAAAAAAACTAAAAATAGAACTACCATTTGATCCAGCAAACCCACTTCTGGATATATACTCAAAGAAACTGAAATCAGCATCTTGAAGAGATATCTTTATTCCCATGTTCAGTGTAGCATTATTCACAACAGTCAAGACATGGAAACAACCTGTATGTCTTTCCACAGATGAATGGATAAAAGAAGGAAATATTGCCATTTACGACAACATGCATGGAGCTGGAGGACATTATGCTAAGCAAAATATGCAAGATACAGAAAGAGAAATATTGCATGATATCACTTATATCTATAATCTAAAACAGTCATACTCATAGAGGGAGAGAGTAGGATGGAGGTTGCCAGGCGATGGAGGGAAGAAAAATGGGGAGGTGTTGGTTAAAGGGTACAAAGATTCAGTTATTCTGGATATCAAATGTAGAGTATGGTGACTACAGTTAACAATACTGTATTGTATACCTGAAATTTGCTAAGAGGATAGACCTTAAACCTTCTCAACACACACACACATACACACACACTCGGTAACTATGTAGAGGTGATGGATATGTTAATTAGTTTGTGGTGATCATTTCATAGTGTATATGTATATCAAAATATCAAATTGTACACTTTAAATATATACAATTTTTATATGTCAAATGGTATCTCAATATAGCTGCTAAAAATGAATATCTGTTGTTTAAGCCAATCTGTGGTGTCTTGCTGTGACAGCCCATGTTGACTACTATACTAGGCTAGAGACTATGGGGATAGCAATACAAACTGTAGCAAGAGATTTGAGTGATACTAAAAAGCTGTAGAATTCACAAAACTTAGCAACTGACACTTATGAGGGATAAAAGGTGAGTCAAAGAACACTGTAAGATTTTAAGTTGGATGACTCAGAAGATGATGGTGCCATTAACGAAAATAGTGAGTGCAAAAAAAAGAAGCAAGCTTGAAACATAAAAATGGATGATAAGCACTCAAGGGATTTTTTTTTAAGAAGTACTGGAAATAAGACTGGTAGAATAAAGAGATATTAGGGCTAGATATATGAATTTGGAGTCATCAGCATAAAGATGATAGATGTAGTTATTAAATTCCTTTATTTGTAGAAGACAAAAAAGTGAGAAACTGCAAATAGGAGGCATGAAAGGCCAAAGAAAAGACAAAATATAGAAATATAGGAGAAACAGAGATATAGGATCAGTAGAGTATAGAAGATAGGCAGTGGAGTTCCTAGAGGGGGTAGTCAATAGCATGCAATGATATAGAGAGATCAAGGAGATGGGGACTAAGAAAAGGACACTGGTTGGTCACTGAAGATTACTGGTGATTCTGGGGAGAAAAGCTTTTGGAGAGTGGTATGGGCAGAGGCCAGACTACAAAGCATAAAGGAATGTTTAGATGGAAAGAAAATAGAGGTAGGAAGTATAAGCTATTCTTTCTAAAAGCTTGACAGTGAAGGAAAGGGCAAAAAGAGAAGTGCCATGAGTATGCAATGTGCAGCAGGATCAGAGGAGAGGGTAAAGATATAAATTGGAAAAATAAAGGCACTAATTATTTTAAAGTAATCTGAAGTTTCAATATTTCTCACATAACTGATATAAAATATATCTTTAGAACATCTATTTTTAAGTTATTTGATACTTCAATAACAATGGATAAGCTACTTAATCGTTCATTAAAAATTTATATAAAATATAAATATATATTCAAATAAAGATATTTGTAAAAGCATATTAATCATTCTTCACAAACTTCAAATAGATGAACATATTAGAACTTTCTGTGAAAGGGTCCATAACATAGGACTAAGTATAAGAAGAAAGTCTGCATAACAACAATAAACTTCCAGTATTTATAACCGATGCCCTCAGACATAGTCCACAATGGATGTACCTGATAATGAATTATTAGGTCAGGGATTTCTTTTTAAGCAGTGAAAATTATTCTTCAAATAAAAGTTATATGAAAGCTCATCACATGAAATAAAAAACAGAGTTGTTCTGGTTGAAAGGAGAAATCTCTTCTGAGTATTTTTGAAGTACCTCTTTGGATTACCCAGAAATAGGTAGAAAAGTCTGAAAACCTCTGAATTATTGAGACAGCAGGCCCCCGAAGGAAGAGAATATCTGAGTAACATAACTGGAAAACCAAAGGAAGGTTTTAGAAGTGGATGTTGACTGAAAGAAGGCTCACTTTTCGACACAAACCCTTTTGTAAAATTGGGGTAGCCCTAAAAAATATGAGGCCTATTTAAAGGTGATTTTGGATATTTTTCCTTTCTTATTAATATGGTTTAATAATATGAAAAACCCTAAATGTGTCAAACAGTCTAGTTTTTATGTGCTTCGGGAAAGAGCTCTTCATTTAGTTTTTTTCACCCTACTCATTTTAAATTTTATTTTAAAAGACTAAGATATGTTTGGAAATCTGCATATGAAATCCTAACTGACTCAAGTCTGACAATATTGAAATCCTCATTAACTATAAGAACATGCTAATTTTTACTACATAAATATATCAGCTTTTAAATGATTTGTCTGCCATCATAAAGGAACAAAGAATAAATACCCTGTCCATATTTATTTCTTACCTTGTTTAATCGGCAAAACTTTATTTCGAAATGATCTGGCTTTCCCTGGGTCATGGCTATTTCCACTTCGGCTATATCCACTGAAGCTCGATGAAGAAAATGGCCCATCCAGTTCATCATCAAGTAAATACAGTGACAGCCCTTCAGCAACATCTGAAACTTACATTTAAAAAGATTGTAATGTTAACATAATTATGTTTTCAGAAAAATTTAACAGGCTGTTTTTAAAACTATATCTCAGTTATTTCACTCTAACATCAAAATTACAAATTGTTTAAAGAAAATATGAATATTTTGAGAATAAATGTTTTATTACATTGTTAAGCTTTCAAGCAGTTTGTCAGAAAAACTTGTCCAAGAAAACCACTTCCCCACATTATGAATCTTCAATTCTTAGGTTGGTAAGTATAATATAGATGAGTGGTCTGAGATATTACAGATGTTAAAAATCATAAAGTCACATAATTTTAAACTAAGTGACTTTAAAATTCATCTAGTCTTAACACCCTTACTTTAAAAGTGAAGAAACTAAGTCCTATGACCTAATGTCTTACCCAGGGTCACAGAGAACTGGGAATAGAATGCAACTTTTCTATTGATACATCCAAATCCACTGCCCCTTGCATTATAAACCATGCTGCCTCTTCTATATTCTTTAGTTAAACTAAAATACAGAACACCAAAAACAAAAGACATATTTACCAGGAGATGAGAAAGGAGAGCTAGTCCTGGCATAAGACACTGAGGTATTCTGGTCATTTTTAGGCTGTAACTTCATTTGTTTCTGTTTCCCTTTTGGACTATAAGTAAAAATATATAATAATGAACAAATTTTTCTATTAGCAATATATTATGATAGTATGATACAAAATGCTTAAGCTAAGCAAAGAAGAAATGCAATATAATTTAAGTGAAATAATTCAAATTGGTAATAGGACAAAGTTAAATTTCAATCATTAAAATTAAAAAAAAAAGGTTTGGGTATAGTAAAATCCATTTAAAAAAGCTTTGGGTTACCAGCTCCACCTTTACACAGGTATAAGAGTTCTAACAACAACAACAAAATCTCTTGGATTCCCTCAAAGTAGTCAATAAACTTTAAGAAGTGAGGTAATACATACAAGATGCTTTGAAAACTAAACTGCCATGTCAATGTAATATACCTAGGAGCTCTGCTACTAGATAATGAACTGCTGCTGCTTCTTAGACGTTTTCTGTACCGTGGCCTTCTCCTCTTCTGACTCTGGATTGCTGACTTATATTCAGAGATGATATTTTTAATATGACTTTCAAATAAGGCAGATAATCGCAATGTCATGCTATAGATCTGAAAAGGTAGAAATTAGTCTTGTTTTACCAACTACTTTAATTATATAAAAATAACAGGTTATAAACATGCCTGAACAATATCAACATCATCCTTTCAGACATAATATATGTGCTTCTTACACTTGAAAAATTTTCCTGAAGAATTAAAACAAAATACCATTTTCACCTACAAATTAATAATGATTTTTAAAAGATAATATACAATGTTGGGAAGGGGAGGAAAAAATATTCTTATACATTGCCAGTGGGTATTTTAACCTGAACAACATTCTAAGGACAATCTGCAATATTTGCCAAAAACCTTAAAATATATACATCCTTTGGCTAATAATTTCATCTTTAGGAATTTATCCTAAGGAAATATCAGAGAACTACACACACGAAATAATTATGTTCAAGGATGTTAACGATGTTACCCACAGCATTATCCATTTAAAGTAAAAAACTAAAAACAACCTAAATCTCTAGCACTAGGACGCTGGTCAAACAACACAAAACCACCTACACAAAAGCACCTACTCTTCTGTTTTCAAAGAGCAATAATAAGATGGAAAAATGTTCATAATATATATTTTTAAAAAGGCTTCAAAATATAAAACCTACTGTTTAAAGATTATACAAACATTTATCAGTACACATGTAAACGTAGAAAATAAATCAAGTGTGAAAAATTATGTGTACAGAAATCAGTGAAAATTCATTTCATATGAAGTGGAAGTGAGCATGTATATACCTACTGTGCAACTGATTTAAAAGTTAATCAGTTACTAGTGATTAGAAAACACAAAAATTATTACTTTTTTGTTCTCAAGATGTTTAAGTACTGACAAAACACAGAGAAAGTATTAAATGTGAGTATGAATAAAGTTATAATTTCCCAATATAGTTCACTAATTTGTTATAATAAAGGGAACATAAATATTCATAGCTAATCTAAATATTTCATATAAATTAATCCTGTCAACCACTTTTATTTATCAAATTATTTATTGGACATATTAAAGAGTACTCAAATTTCTACCACTCCTTTCCTTGACTTCTCTCTGGCAAATATAGGTATTACTTAAGAGTAAAGAAGAGGCAGGTAGGAGAAAGGAAGAAGGGCTTAATTTCAGAATGACTATGCTAAATGTATCTTTAATGCATGCTTAATAAACTGTTTCAGAGAAAGTACTGAGAATCAAACTTTAGAAACTATGTCAGAATGGTAGTACATACTTGTTTAGCAATTTTAAAACTGGTGAAAGAAAATTGCCTGATATATATAACTAAACACTTAGGTAATTAATCCACCTAATATTGTTTTTTTCATACCCTTGACTTTTTATTAGAGGTATAAGCTTTGGAGTTGCTGAATATTTGGCGAACATCCTTATAAAATTCCAGAGGACTACCATAGTTTCCTGCTTCCAAAGTTTCTTTCACAGTGCTGAAGTCCATAGGAGTGTCTATAACATGACAATCCTACAAAGAAGAATGTGTTATTAAACACACAGGCTGAGTAACAACACTACATAATACAATGGGACTGAGATTTGCATCATTATGAAACAAACACACTGCTCTTCAATCTGCCAGTTACCTCTTTGTAGTCCCAAACCATCCATTTAATAGAGGTCTTTTGGTGGCTCAGGGAAACAGCAGGGGTCTGTGGGAGGGTCTTAGCCCTCACCCTTCAATGGAAAATCATATGACTCTCAAGGGACAGAACAGAAAATCCACAGCCACTGGCTTCATCTCTACATAGATGGGAATATCTTAGAAATAGGTAGCTAATTTGTGACATGGAACTATTTAATTCTGTGTGAATAATCCCATCTACTTTCATTGAGCAATGTGCCAGGGAGTTGGCATGAGGGCATTCTACCTAAACTGTCATTAGTTGAAGGTCAAAATCAAATTGGCCATGTTTGTGCCTTTCTCCTATCTTTTTGTTTTTAAATAAATGTGACACTTGTGCTTCATCTAAAGTCTTCAGTCTCAGATTCATAATTAGTTTGATCTTTATTAGTTAGGGGTGGAGAAGATTCTTTCTATTTTAATCTAAATCTTTCAAGTCTAGTTAAGATATTCCTAGGGTTATCATATGGAATTACATCTGAAATTTATACTTAGGTATACCACAACCACCAATGATAAACATGTTCTGGAGTGAAAACCATAGTCAATATTAGATCCTTCATCCTAATTAGAATCATTAAGAAATAAAAGCACAACATTTCTCTCAAAGGAGAAGCCAAAGGGCCAGATGAAGGGGCAGAAGAAAGGTATTATAAAAGAGAAAATATTTTTCAAAGTATGAGAAATCACAGTTGATCTTAATGTATCTTCTTAATTTTTTTTGCTTAAATCATAAAAACCAAAGTGTATTCCAATATAATATGGCTTATGAAATAAAGATTTTCATAGAGAAAAAAATATTGGAACTTCATGTAATACAATGACCAAAACTCAAAAGACCCAGTCAGCCTGCTGAATAAAGTCCCACTGAGAACAATCAGCTGCAGTTACAGACATAATTATGTTGTGTAATTGATGTTTTCTACTCTGCTACAGTAGCTTTAGAACTATATAAACAAACATCTACCCAGATGCTACAAAGAACTCTCCAGAGCATGTGTTGTTTAAAAGACAAAAAATAAACAACCAAAATCTCAAACAAAGGTAAAAAGATAGTGAGCAAAGTTGAAAAATAGCTTTATAAATTATAAAAGATTTGTTTACAGTATGGGGATTTAAAAAAGTAAAACAACACAAAAACAACTAGAACATATATGTCTTTTAAGAGACTACTAGGCCTACCTCACAAAGAGATGGATCTTGTTGTCGTTCTGGAATAACTGACTCAGAGGATTCGCCCTCTTGCTCTTGATGGCCCTATTAGGGTAAAGAAGATATATTGTATTTCCAGACCACCACAACAAAATATCAAGACTTGCAATGCAATTATGATTTAAAGCTCAAAGATCCATAAATAGGAATTATGTTTTTACTAACTATAATTTAAGATGAAGAAATTCTACATTCACCATTCTCCTCTACCATGAAAAATACAAAACTAATTTATTCTACCTAAACCCCCCACAAAAACAAATCAAGTTTTGTTGAATGTAATTTTGTTCCTTATTTGAATAACATTTTTTCCCAACAGAAACCTGTGTATGCAGAGAATATTGCTGTTTACTAATTTCAGAGGATAGTTTGATGTATTTCTGAAATATTGCTGTACCTTTTTTCTGAAAAAGCTAAAACAGATTTGCTATCTATACTAAAAGGTTATTCAACATGTAAATAGATATACTCCTAGAAAAGGTATCCTGTAATTTAAGTTCTCATGCTTTTATCTTTGATGAAAAGTAATAATGGTATATTGATTACTCTAAGTGATCATATTTAATAACTTATTTATTGTAAATTAAATAGGGCTGACATATGTTATCAAGGGTCTCCAGTGTGTAGAAGTTTATTAGAAGTTAATAAAATGCATTAAACAAATATGCAAAATAAAAGCAGCAAGGAAATGCAAAGATGTTTAGATTAAAATTTGGTTTACAACTGTGTAATTTACAAAGTACATGTCATGCATTTTAAAAAGTCATGACTAATCACACTACACACTTTCACAATTCAAAGATACACAAACAAAGAAGGAAGAAGGAAGGAAGGAAGAAAGGGGGGAAAGGGCTCTTAACTAGAACTTAGCATGGATATTTATGGGAAATTACATATTGGTAATTATTTAAATAAATATACTTACTGGGTTGGAAAGAGGATCAGATGGCTGTCGAAATGGCTCTGAGTCTTCACGTTCATAAATGAGGCCCAACAGTTCTGTGCATTGATTTCTCCAAGCATCAGGATTACACTTTAAAGACAGTCTTCTGCCTCGGCATTTGACCTGTAGATTTTAAAAGAATTATATCTAAAAGCTCTTTCCTTAAGTCCTCATTGATTTTCTCCTGTCTTCCTATGTTAATATATATCTATATAAGATAGGGCAGCTGCTATTTAAAAATTTCTTAGTTTAGATTAAACATCATTCTCCCTGGCAAAAATACAAACAAATAAAAACTGGATATTATATTCTTAGAAACAGCAATAATTCTAGCATTCTGAATTCTCATTTTAAGAAAATCTACAAGGTCAATAATTTTAATACCTTAGTCTTTGCTGCTAGTTAAGAATATTTGACAGTGGCACTGTAATTTTCTCAAAATAACAACTGAACAATATATATATTCTTAAGTAAATCCTTTGTGGTCATAATATGTTCTTGCCTTTACTATTTGATGCCTTTTTTACACAATATGTTTCAGTATTCGAAAGGGAACATTTTCCTTATATACAACAAATGTTTGTCTAATTATCATAGAGAAGTGTGCAGAACAGAGTTAACATAACAGACCTGAGTCTATCTTTAGCAGGGCTTGCTTATTATAAGGTTGGCCCTTGACTGGCATCTAGGAACTTGGTACTTGAACTCTTTTCTAAATAATAAAGGTGGTTTACTGTGCCCACACTGTTTGTACAAAGAATGTCACTTGTGCTGAACATTCACTTTCCTGTACATTTCCTATGCTTTCCTACTTTCTGTGAGTCTGGAATCTTGGCATGTGCTAGCTAGATGGGGTCTACATAACAAGCTCCCAATAAATTCTTTGGGAGATCAGTCTCTAATCACACACATGTTGCTCCATTTTTCACTGTGGGAAAAGAATGTACTCTGTGTGGCCCTTCAGAGGAGAGAGAGAACATAAAGAAACCTGCACATGGATTCCTCCAGACTCTGCCTGTATCTTTTTCCCTGTGATCCAGCTGTGTATCCTTACTGTGTCACTGTCATAAACCTTAGCGATGAGTTAACAAGTATATATACTGAGTTCCATAAGTCCTTCTAGCAACTCTCCAAATATATGGAGTTGGTCTTAGGGATCCCTGACACAGGAAGCCTGAATTTTTTCTTATCAGCAGTTCATTTATCCACTTACCCTTCTTCCAGATGAAGTACCAGGACCATCTGAATCTAAATCAACAATTTCTGTATCCTAAAATTAAAAAGGAAGCGTGGGAGAAGATATTAAGTTATATTCAGTCTTACAAATTAGATAAAATTTACAAAGAAATGGCAAATATAATCACAATTAACTCCCTCATTGGAGCAGGCAACAGAACAAAGGTGAGAGGGAGACTCACTCCAAACTTCACCTACATGCTATATACAAGTTGGAAAATATACTGGGAGAAGAAGAGTAAATGAAGTTTCTCTTTAAATCAGAATAGGAAATGAGGGGGAAAGTACAATGATTCGTATCTAAAGTTGTACCTAAATGTTAGTATTTTTTTAAAAAAACTTATTTTATATGACATGCTAATTTAATATACTATAATCATGAATTACTCATGATTAATCTTTTACTACTTCAAGAAATATATCTCTTTTCTATAGGGAAAATATGAATGTGTATTAAAACATAAGATTCAGTTAAGTATCCCTCTGAGGGTTAGTTTTTTAATACAAAGAGGCAAGGCCCACACACCACTATTAACTTGGTGATGGTGAAGCACACTGGTAATGCCTTGGAGAATCTAGAAAATGGCTACAAGTGAACTTATCTACAAAAGAGAAATAGAGTTACAGATGTAGAAAATAAACTTATGGTTACCAGGCGGGTAAGGATGGGGGAGGGATAAATTGGAAGATTGGGATTGACATATACACACTACTATATATAAAATAGATAACTAATAAGGACCTACTGTCTAGCACAGGGAACTGTACTCAATACTCTGTAATGGCCTATATGGGAAAATAATCTAAAAAAGAGTGGATATATGTATATGTATAACAGATTCACTTTGCTGTACACCTGAAACTAACACAACATTGCAAATCAACTACACCCCAATAAATATTTTTTTAAAAATAAGAAAGCAAAGTAGCTCATGAGCCATTGGTTTCCCTTTCTAAAATTGCTGAATTACATTTTACTTTAATTTTCTATTCTAACCCAGAGTGCCATTCTGAGGTGAGCAACATCCATCCATGATAAAAACTCCCTGGGGGTTTAATATCCAAAAGATATAACAAAATAGGTATAGATTTTATTTCAACATAATAAAGGCCATATATGACAAACTCACAGCTAATTTCATGGTCAATGGAAAAAAACCCAAAAGCTTTTCCTCTAAGATCAGGAATGAGACAAGGATGCCTACTCTTTTATTTTATTTAACATAGTATTGGAAGCCCTAGCTAGAACAATTAGTCAAGAAAAACAAAAGGCATCCAAATTAAAAAGGAAGAAGTAATACTGTCTCTGTTAGCAGATGACATAATATTACATATAGAAAACTCTAAATACTCCACCAAAACCTGCTAGAACTAATCAACAAATTCAGTAAAGTTGCAGGATACAAAATCAATATACAAAAATAAGTTGTGTTTCTATACACTAATAATGGGCTATCAGAAAGAGAAATTAAGAAAATAATGCCATTTATAAATGCATCAAAAAGAATAAAATACCTAGGAATAAATTTAACCAAGGAGTTGAAAGATCTGGACACTGAAAACTATAATACATTGATGAAACAGAAGAATACACAAATAAATGGAAAGATAGTCCATGCTCATGGATTGGAAAAATTAATATCATTAAAATGTTTGTACTACTCAAAGCAATATACAGATTCAACACAATTTCCAACAGCATTTTTTGCAGAAATAGAAAATAATCTTAAAATTCATATGGAACCATATAAAAGAATTCTAATAGCAATTTTGAGAAAGAAGAAAAGAGCTGGAGGCATCACACCTCTTGATACCAAACTATATTACAAAGATATAGTAATCACAAGAGTATGGTATTGACATAAAACACACAGATCAATGGAACAGAATAGAGCACAGAAATAAACCCATGCATATTGGTCAATTAGTTTACAACAGAGGAGCCAAGAATATAAAATAGGGAAAGGATAGTTTCTTCAATAAATTGTGCTTGGAAAATGATATCCACCTCAAAAGAATGGAACTGGACACCTATCTTACACCATACATTAAACACAACTCAGAATGGATTAAAGACTTGGATGTAAGACATGAAACCATAAAACTCCTAAGAGAGGGCTTCCCTGGTGGCGCAGTGGTTGAGAGTCCACCTGCCGAGGCTGGGGACACGGGTTTGTGCCCTGGTCCAGGAAGATCCCACATGCCGTGGAGTGGCTGGGCCCATGAGCCACGGCCACTGAGCCTGTGCGTCTGGAGCCTGTGCTCCACAATGGGAGAGGCCGCAACACTGAGAGGCCCGCATACCGCAAAAAAAACCCCCAAAGAAAACAAAAAACAAAAAACAAAAAACAAAAACTCCTAAGAGAAAACACATGGGTGTAAGCTGCTTGACATTCGTCTTGACAATGAGGTTTTTGGATGTGACAAAATGCAAAGGTAATAAAAGGCAACAAAAGCAAAAATAAACAAGTGGGACTACATCAGACTAGAAAGCTTCTGCACAGTAAAGAAAACCATCAACAAAATGAAAGGCAATGTACCAAATGGGAAAAAATATTTGCAAATCATATATTTGATAGGGGTTAATATCCAAAAGATATAAACAACTTGATAGCAAAAGAACAAATAATCCAATTAAAAAATGGGCAGAGAAACTGAATAGACATTTGTCAAAGGAGACATCCAAACGGCCAACGGGTACATGAAAAGGCACTCAACATCACTAATCATCAGGGAAAAGCAAATGAAAACCACGATGAAATATCACCTCACACCTGTTAGAATGGTTATTATCAAATAGACAAAGAAATAATAAGTGCTGGCGAGGATGTGGAGAAAAGAGAGTCCTTGTGCACTGTTGGTAGGAATGTAAATTGGTACAGCCACTATGGAAAACAGTATGGAGGTTCCTCAAAAAATTAAAAACAGAACTACCATATGATCCAGCAATCTCACTTCTGGGTATATATCTAAAGGAAATAAAAACAAGATATCAAAGATATAAAGTTGTACTCCCATGTTCATTGCAGTATTATTCACAATAGCCAAGATATGGAAACAATCTGTCTGTCAACAGATGAATGGACAGAGAAGATATGGTATATATATATACACAATGGAATATTATTCAGCCTTAAGAAAGAAGGTAATTCTGCCATTTGTGACAATGCAGATGGACCTTGAGGGCATTATGCTAAGTGAAATAAGTCAGACAAAGGAAGACAAATACTGCATGGTATCACTCATATGTAGAATCTTTAAAAAAAGGGAAAGTCAAACTCATAGAAACAGAGTACAGAAAAGCGGTTGGGTGGTGGACCAGATGCTGGGGGGGAATATGGAGACGGTGGTAAAAGGATACAAACTTCCAGCTAGAAGATGAATAAGGTCTGAGGATATAAGGATCTAATGTAAACCATGGTGACTATAATTGATAACACTGTATTGTATAACTGCAATTTACTTAAAGAGTAGAACTTAAATGTTGAAAGAAAGGAAGGAAGGGATGGAGGGAGAGAGGGAGGGAGGGAGGAAGAAAGGAAAAATAAGGTTGCTGAATTACATTTTACTTTAATTTCCTATTCTAATCCAAGTAATGCTACTTTGAGGAGGTATTCTTGCTACATCAAATTCTGAATCAAAATGAATTTATATGAAAGGTCAGAGAAAATATCAGGAATAAGAATGATAAATTTTTCATTAGTTTCAGGAGGATAATATCTAATTGGCATATCTGAGTTTTCCTTAATATGTAAATAACATTTAACTTCAATAATACTTACAACATTTTATAGTCAAATACATTTTTGTAAAATTTAAAAACACTGGGGTGGGCTTCCCTGGTGGCGCAGTGGTTGGGAGTCTGCCTGCCGGTGCAGGGGTTGCGGGTTCGTGCCCTGGTCTGGGAGGGTCCCACGTGCCGCGGAGCGGCTGGGCCCGTGGGCCATGGCCGCTGGGCCTGCACGTCCGGAGCCTGTGCTCCGCGGCGGGAGAGGCCGCGGCAGTGAGAGGCCCGCGTACCACAAAAAAAAAAAAAACACTGGGGAAAAAATAAATAAAAAAAATAAAAACACTGGAGATTTACCATTCTGGGAATTAACAGTACGGAAAATATAAACATGTAAAATACCTCTGTACAATAATAGTCACTGCAATAAAATCCAGCATATTTGAGTAACTCATCCCTGGGATGAATTGTTTTCCATTAAATATTTTTGAATTATCACTTTTCATTACTGTTTAAGCCTTTTATCTTGGCTTTTGCTTCTATCATAGCCTCTAGTCACAAATAGCTTAAGGTAAATTAGGGATATGACTGGGTGGGGAAATAAGATATGTGAGGGTCTACTGACAATACTAATTCCATTTCATTAAGAAAAACTGGTTTATGTTTGCAAATTTTCATAAAGGAAATCAAATAGCAATTCCATGAAAGTACTAAAGTACTAAAACTGTAGACTTTCAAGTTTAAAATTATAAAATACTTTAAAATTTTATATATACTGTGTAGAAAATTAATCCCTACTAAAACTTCCATCAACTAATCATTCTTTTAAAACACTGATTAGTGCTTTGTCCTGTTCAAGGGCTGGAAAATAAAGTATTGATTTCTCATCACTGAAACCCACTGTGTCAAAAAGGATGACTGGCCACCTCTCTCTGACTGCAGCACACTACATTTTTGGTATATATTATCTACATATAGGTTAAAGAGTTTAATACAAAAAGATGCAGGTGTTCAGCCAGCTTTCAGAAATCAGCTTCACTGCTTATAGTTATTTTTTTTATTTTTATTTTTTTTTCGGTACGCGGGCCTCTCACTGTTGTGGCCTCTCCCATTGCGGAGCACAGGCTCCGGACGCGCAGGCTCAGCGGCCACGGCTCACGGGCCCAGCCGCTCCGCGGCATGTGGGATCCTCCCAGACTGGGGCACAAACCCGTGTCCCCTGCTTCAGCAGGCGGACTCTCAACCACTGCGCCACCAGGGAAGCCCCTATAGTTAGTTTTAACACTTACATATAATACTTATTGTACGTTAAATGACAGAAAAGGAATTCATGCCTACTAATCATGCTGTGATTCTTACCTCTTCTGCATCAGTACTGTTTAGTTCTTCTGCTTTAATTTTATTATAAGTATCCAGTATATCAGTACAGCTCTGATCCCTGAGAAGACAGATAAGTTAAAATACATTTCAATAAATTTTAGAATTCAGAACTCAGCCTGTATGGGAGATAAAACTTCTTCTTACCCAATAAATCGAAGTAAGACATCAGTTACAATTTTGGCTGCTTTAACTATAGGACTGTCTGGCTCATTGAAAGTCCTAGCATTATGCTCAATGTAGCGTACTTCCCACATTAATGCTGATATTCTCCTATGAAAGAAAAAATACCCTGTTACTCTTGGTTGATACGTTTAAAGTCTATTCTAGGATTAGACAACATAGAACTAGGCATTTAATCATGATATGTCAAAGGTGTTCAGATATATGTATGTGACTCAATATATGTGTGTGACTAATGTGCACTAATAAAGGTATATAGTTAGAGTATTTGAAGCACAGGCAAGAGTTCAGAACCACTGGACTATAAACTTGGATATGAAAACTTGGAAAATAACTGACCCACAACATTGTGGGTAAATAGTGATTTGACCAAGGTCAAAGTAACAAAAACAAATACTGCTTTGATAAATCAACAGAAGAATGTTTTGTTTTCAGAGAAAAGCAAAAAACAAAAAGGACAGATTTTTACCTCATTGCTTTTATGATATATATTATTGAATGAAATTATAGGTAAAGATATAAAATACACCCAACTGGTTATATTTATAACCATTTCATGGAATAATTGTCGTTAGGACACAGTAGACTCTAGGGTGAGAGAGGTACCAAAAGCTGCCCTCCACTGCCTTCCCATAATCACCCAACTCTCAATCAAAACCAAGGAAAAAATAACTTGGCTTTTTCTATACACATTTTGGGATTGGTATTAAATCTAATTAACTGCTGCCTAATTCCCCAACAGGGGATTTACAACATGCTCCAAGTCCCTGGAGCACCATAATCAAGATGAATCCACAAACTACTTAATCTGCCTTTAATAAGTTAAAATTAACTGTAGTTTTTGTTTCATATGTGATTTGTGCTAGTCATAATTTCCTCCCTGTCCATACCTCTTTTTACCCTGGAAGAGTGAAAATCTACTGAATAAAGGGAAATCAGTGTTTCAAATTTTCAGGAGAAATTTTGGAGTGGGTCTTCTGAATGGTTATTTTACACTATGAAAACAAATATCTCAGTGTATCATTATGCAAAAAGGAAAGCAAAAGATATAAAACTATACAAGCTTTTAAGAAATGATAAAAATTAAACAGACCTGTAAAAGCGATTTTCAAGTCTCCGCCTGATGGTGTTGAGGTCAGTTGGATAAGCAACTACAGTACAATACAAGGGATAGGCACTGAGATCCACTGGAACAGCAAAAGGGCTGGCAAAATCTACAACATTTACAAAATAAAAAAAGACAATTATAAAGAACACTAACATTTCATGTTAACAAACAAAAACTCATATAAACAAGAACGGTGGGTGATATAATACTACATTTCTAAAATGCTGATTATTCAATTATGCAAAAACTAGACCAATACTATTATAATGTTATTCTTTTTATTTGGACATTCTATCTATGACTCAATCATGCATGATACACTGGTTCAAATCAAGTAAAAACAAGACAAAATTAAAGGAGAACTGTGTTTAACTTCAAATTTATGTCTTTTCTGGATAAATGTCAAATGTCTTGTGATATACTTCAGAAAATATAAGTAGTCATGGAGTAAAATATATTACTGCACCCACTGTCTTTACCAAAATATCGATCCAAAGTTAGGCTTAGGGAATAGCTAGAGAGCCAAAATGACTCAAGAAAGTAAAAGACACCTATATGGCTGCCTTCTCTATTATAGCCCAAGAACTGAAAAAGTTTGCCAGTCATTACTTTGGCCAAGCAAATAAAAATGTTATTATTAAAACTAGAATCACCGTGCCTCATGAGTTAAAAGTATACAGTGAGAAAATGCATTTCCTTTTACAGAACTTATAATTCTGCTGGTTTTCCTTATTCATTCCCATCTTCCTAACATCTTCACATTC